TTTGCCCCAGTTCCCTCCCTGGTGGTTTAACTGGAGCTTTTCTTCATGTTTGCAGACACATCTGGAGAGGAAAGAGGCCGTGGTGAGGCACCTACAGGCAAAGCTCCAAAGGAACAGGAATGACCCTCCCAAAGCAGGTGGCTGCCTCGGGAGTCACTCTGCAGAGTCACTTGCAACAGAGCCAGGACAGACCCCCTCGCCAGAGCCCCTCCGGAGCAGGAGGGTGGACTTCAGCAGGGCTTCTCCATCCCACAGTAAAGGTGTGGGACAGAGTTCACCTCCTCATCCCACCGCTGAGACCCCGGGGTGGGTGATGCAACTGAAGAAGGGGACTACTCAAGACAGCAGCTTCCAGCCAGTCCCTGCAAAACGAGGAGGAGGAGATGTGTTGAACAAGGAGGTAGGAGCCACATCTCATCCTCCCTGGAGAAACCCAGCCCAGCAGACATGGCCACACGCCAAAGACAAGGGTGCTCCAGCAGTTCCTGTTGCAGCCCCTATGGGTGCTGTGGGAAGCCCCCACAGCATGGGGCACCCAGCTCAGCCTCGGAGGAAGCCTTTGCCACACATCAAGGCACTGGGAGCGAGGCCAGACAAGCCCAGGCGTCCTCCTGTCGTGGATCTGGAGAAGTTTGGTGCATCTGCACATCCTGGGACACCCATCCATCCTGCCATGGAGCCACCAAGGAGTGCTCAGCTGGGTATGGCCACGAGAGTAGAGCTGCTCTTCCCTTCCTTTGGAGAGCTGCAAAACTGAGCCACGTCCTGGCCAATGATGCTCCTGAGCACATGGAGATCTCTGGGATTTGCCCAGACTCTGGTACAGGTCTGAAGTTCAGGGGTTTCACCACATTCGAAATACTCATTTTGGTCTCTTCCCCTCCCCTTTCATCACTGATTCAGGGAGAAAGTAGCATTAGGGACATGAAAATGGGAACACATGTATAAAAACTCCGCTCTGGATCCAGATTGCAGTCCCTATTAGCTCCCCTCATCCTTCTGCACTAAATCTAGCCCAGTGTGGCTCTGACTTTAGGGTGGGTGATAGAGTTGGAGCAAGAATGTGAAATAATCCCTCACTGCTCCCCCCTGTTCCTCTTTCTACCACAGGTCACCCCAAACCAGGCTATGCTGCATCAGCCCCAGCGTGGTTCCCACCGCAGGATGCTCCAGGTGTAAGGAGGTAAGGACTGAGGCAGCACTTTTATTCTAGGGGGCTTCCAGCCTGTCCAACCCGGTGGGAAGAGCTGGCACATGGCACAGAGCTGCTGTCCCACTCTGCCCCAGACCTGGGACCCACAGGCAGCCCAGCCTCCTCCTGGTAGCCTTCATCCTGCTCTTCACCCCTTGAGTCCACTGCAACAGAGCTTTCTAATCGCTCTCTTCCTCCTCACAGGGATGAAGATAAGATATATGATGATGTAGAGCCTGTTGGGCTGATCAGGAGAGCCCAAGGCTTTCCACTGCCCGCCATGTGCCAGCCACCAGCAAATCCCTGCCCCAGAGGAGGTGGGTACAGGAGGGTCTGGGGTGAGCAGCTGAGGGAGCCTTGATGCCCCAACAAGCCCTGGGCAGCAGCAGAGCCCACTGCTCCTGTGCACGGGAGGGTGATGGGTTCTTTGCTGCCTTGTAAATGGGCATGGGAAGCCCTGATCCCCCCCATGCTCAGGGGGCAAACTCAGGGGTTGATCCCAGGAGGAGAAGGCTCTTGCTGGTGTTTCAGTCACGTGTCCTGTCTCAGCAGGTGCCTAACACCTTATAGCAGCCTCATGGCAGCACCTCTCTCCAGGGTTTGGTTTTGCAGGTGGAGACGCCGGTCGAACCTCTAACGGGTTTGCCTTGCTGGCAGCAGCACAGAGGTAACAGGGGTTTTTACTCTTTCTAAGGGTCCCAAAATGGCCAGGGCTCCTTGCTGCTTTGACAAAGCTGGTGGTTGAATGCTCTCTGCTGGGCTTGCAATGGAAATCTCTATGGCGAAGAGCACAAGTAGCTGGTTTAAACCTGGCCCGGGAACCCCAGAGTGGGTGAAGGGAAATGTGATGGGGCAGCAGCCGAGGAGGAGAAGGGGAGAAGGGAGGGAGCAGAGTGTGGGGATCACCTGAGCTTTCCTGTGACTCACAATGGCTCTGCAGAGGAGCGCAGGTCCCCCGGAAGATGAAGCCAATGACACTCAAGGAATGCAAGAAGGAAGAGAAGGCAGACAGGGAGTTTCAGAAGAAATTCAAGGTGAGCAGCAATGAGCAGCAAGGCAATGGCAGAGGAGCTGTGCTCCACAGGCACCAGGTCACACCTTCCCTGTTCCCACTGAAACGCCTCCAGATCAGACCAGTCCCACAGACCAGTTGCCTTGCTTTTTCCAAGGGAGAGTGGATGGAGCTGCCTGGCTCACACTCCCCCAGGGCAGCTGCTGAGCTGCAGGACTCACTGCTCTTTGTGTCCCAGTTTGAAGGAAGCATCAATGTCCTGACCCAGATGATGGTTGATCCCGCAGCGGTGGAGAAAAGGGGTGGAGGGAAGAACCTGCCACTGAGACGAGGAGAAATTCTTGATGTTATTCAGTTTACAAACCAGGAGCAAATCCTCTGCAGAAACAGCCAGAGGAGGTGTAAGTCTGTGGGGGCTGGGGCTTTGCCTGCAGTGGGGATCACAGCACACACAGTTTTGGGAACAAGTTTCTTCATGCACACACACACCCCAGAAGACAACTGGAGACATGCTCTTGCCGTTAGACTTGACATGTACCCTGAGATCCAGTGCTCCCACTTCTCTTTGCAAAACATCCTGCTCTTCCCACCAGCGTTCCTGCTGCTAGCCAGGTTTCTTGTCATTCCCTTGCATTGCCTCCAGTAGGTTCTTCCCAGGGGTCCAGCTCCCCAGAGCCAGGCTCTTCCTTGTCCCAAGCTCTCCCATGCGATGCAAGACATTGCTAAACTCTGTCCTGTGCTGGGGTGGGTCCCTGCTCATGCCCCAGCTCCTGGCAGAACCTGAAGTGCTTTTCCTCACTCTTGCAGATGGCTACGTGCCCCGGGCCGTGATGCTCCACCTGTGAGTACCCCTTCCCCAGCCCTTCCTTCCACTCCATGAGCTCTAGCATTTGCCCAGTGAGTCCCCAGCACCAAACCAGCCCTGGCCATGGAATGCCAACTCAAAACCATCCAACCCAGGCAGTTACCATAAGTGTAACAGCAGATAGTTAACCCTGGGCTTGGAACCTTCTATTTCTGGTGAGGTTCTAGCACTGGGAGCAACTTCCTGGGGCATTGAGAGCACTCCTCAAGCTGTGGTTCCTCATGTGGTACCTGCCCAGACACTGTTCAGATGCTGCCGGTGGCATGATGCGATGGGCTAGCACTGCCCCATGGGTCTGTGGCTCCCAGCAGACAGGCATAGGGATGGGGCCACCATCTTCGTACAACATGAGAGGAGCCAGAGCTGTGCTCACCCCATGCCAGAGTATCTCATCTCTGTGGGGAGAGCCCAAGGCTGGGAGGAGGCAAAGGGATATGTTAGGAGAGACGGGACATATGTGGCAGCAGGAGCTGGCCCTTGCTTTGGCAGTGGGGAGATGGTGGAGGACATGGGAGACCAGACTGCTCACAGCACCCTTGTCTTTCCTTGCAGGGACACTGACATCTATGATGATGTTGAGATTTATGGTAGGTGCAGAGGGAACCGGTGCTGTAGCCCCTTCACCAAGCAGTGAGCCCCACAGCAGCACTGGGGCCTCCCCTCCTGCCCTCTTGCCATTTCCCCACTTTTCCTCTCTCCTTTCCCACTCTGTGATTCCTCTCCCTGTCTCTGAGACTTCCCTCCCTTGCTCTTAGTTCCCCACGAGTCCCCATGATCCCTCATTCACAATTCTTTGGACTTCCCCTCACCCTTTTCCTTCTCAGCTTGCTCCCTCCACTCGCTGCCAGCCCCAGGGACTCTCTGATGTCCCTGGTCCCCCAGACAACTCAGGGACACCCTTTCCCAGACAGTTGCTCACTCCCAGCATGCAAACTCCATCCCTGCCTCGCAGATGGCTCTGAAGGTGGAGCTGAGCAGAAACAATGGTGGTTTAACTGTACTGATGAGCAAACATTTTATCTGGCAGGGTAAGGATCCATGGCTAAAGCCAAGACACCACCAACAGAGACCTCCACAAGGGTCAAAACGTGATCCACGTCACACCTTCTCTGTGGCTTTGTTTTGTGTGTAAAATATGGCAATGGTATGAGCTGGGTTTGTGGTCTTATTGGTGGGTGTGTGTTTAAAATCTGCACCAGAGAAGTTTTGATTCAGAGAGGTTTTAATATTTCCCCATTCCCAGAGCATCCTTAGCTGGGAACAACGCTGTATCCCTAAGCCCACCCCCCCCGTCCTTCAGCTGCTGTCCTGCCCTGGTGAGAATCCTCTCCCCCAGCCTGTCTTTGTGCTGGGGATTGCCCCAACCCAGGGGCAGGACCTTGCACTTGGCCTCGTTGAGCTCCGTGGGGTTCACATGGTCCCACCTCTCCAGCCTGTCCAGGTCTCTCTGGATCCCATCCCTTCCAGCACATCAACTGCACCACACAGGTCGGTGTCATTGGCAAAATTCCCCACTGGAAATTCTCCAGTTAACTGGGAAACAGTCTTCCTTTGCAAGCTTTGCTCTCACAAAGCCCTTAACAGATGTGGTGCAGGAGGTGATCCATTTGGATCAGGAACTGTGATGGGAAAGGTGCTCAGGGGCTGAATCCCTGCTCTCAGCCTGCAGCACGCAGCCTGGTCCCGGTGCAGGGTGGAGGGTTCAGCGCTGGCACGGCTGGATGCCAAGCCCAGATTAACCAGTTGAAGACGTCACTTTCCATTATGGGAAAGGCTTCCAAAGAGCCCTGAAGCTTTTGGTTGCTGGGATTAGCCTCCGGTGTGCTCAGCTCCGGGGAAAGGGCCGGGGTCCAGCGGTGTGGCGGTGCCAGCGCGATGAGCAGGGCCAGGAGCTGTTCCGAGGGGCTTTGCCTGGGCAGCTGAGGGTGACCATGTGGGAGCAGGTCAGGAGAGCTTTGCTGGACTCGCTGTCCATGACCTTCCTGCATGGCTGGAAGTGGGTACGGGCTTTCTGGCAGAAAAATGGCCTCTTGACCCTCTCGATGCTATCGGTTGTCACCGGCTGCCTCCTGGGGTTCCTGCTGCGAGCACTGGAGCTGACAGAGCTGGTAAGTGTGATCAGGGTGGGGCTGGGAGTGAGCAGGATGGAGCAGGGTGGTCAGGGCAACCAGCCCTGGTGCTGGCAACACATCACCATTGAGGGCCTCAGATGGGCACAGCCCCAAAAACAAAGGCTCCTGCCCAAGAAAACCACCTCTTGGGGCAGGTTTCTTCCTGTGGCTTTTCTTTGGGTTGTTTTCTGACCCAAAAGCTGCCCACAAATACCAAGGATGCAAGAGAAATCCTGCATCCCACCCCTGGGAGTGGCGGACTGCGGGATGGACCCCATGGGGCTGCAGGAACCTCCAGATGGGATGGGGATGGGAAAGGGGGGAATGGATGCTCAGTAACACAAACAGCAGCACTGAGGTCCGAGGGCTCGACTCTCCCCAGCTGTGCAGATGCTCAACCAAAGCACGTTTCCTCCCTCTGGAGATGACCCAGCAAATAAACAGGGGGCTAGTGGAGAGCCTGGGGAGGGTCACCCTCCCCTGAAGACCCCTGGACACCAACACAGTGAAGAAAATACACCTAAAAGGTGTTTGCTCAGCGCTTTCTAGGAGCTGTTCAACATCAGCACGCCAAAACCCCGGCAGTTCAGTGACATCGGGTGCCTTGGCAGTGGCTCAGCCCTGGTCTTCAGCCAGGCCGCAGGGAGAGCTCGTCTGGCACCGAAACACCCCATGTCACCCGCTAGGGTTTAGCAAGATCCTGTCACTTCAATTACACCTTCAGCATCAGCCGCCCGCAGCGGGGATGAGCTGGTTACTTCATTGAAGCTGCTGTAATCTCCTGCACCCCGGTGCAGATGCCAAGAGCAGCCACTCACCCCAGAGCCTCGGGACTCCTGCCCTTGTCCTGCTGTGCACAGAGTTCCTCCGTCCTCTGCCCCAGTCCCATCCCATCCTCTTGCCACATGGTCCCCAGCAGCCACTTCACCCCATTAGAGCCCCTTGTCCCCAGAAGCAGCTGGTCCCCGCGTTCCTCCCCACGATGGGAAAGTGTCATGAAGCTGAGAAACCCCCTGAAAAAAGAGGTGCTGCTCAAATCTGCTGCTGCTCCTCACACCGCGCTGCACCAGCGTGGTTTGTCTTGGCATCCCCCAGCGCAACGTGGGGCTGATTACTACTGAGAAACCAAAAGTACCTGCTTGGCTTGAGGCCATCTCAGGTCCATCCCTGACACCTCTACAGCGGCAGTGAAAGACTGGGGAGGCAGGGAGGGAGGGAGTGAAGATGGGCGGATGGATGGATGGATGGATGGATGGACAGACAGAACCAAGCTCAGAGCTGGGTCTTTTTGGGAAAAAGGCAAATTTATCAGGTTTGAGCCCTTAACTCACAATCAGCATCCACTTCTCAGCGCTCATCTGACACAACGGCTCTGCTTTATGTGCAGGAGAAGCAGTATTTCTCCTTTCCTGGAGAGCTCCTTATGAGGATGTTGAAGATGCTGATCCTGCCCTTGATCACCTCCAGGTAAGACACCATCTTCTGCTTTTAAAATACCATCTCTCCATCACATTGAGGACATCACCCCATGATCCCCTGATGAGGAACAGGGTGCCCAGAGAAGCTGTGGGTGCCCCATCCCTGGCAGTGTTCAAGGCCAGGTTGGACACAGGGGCTTGGAGCAACCTGCTCTAGTGGAAGGTGTCCCTGCCCATGGCAGGGGGTTGGAACTGGATGAACTTTAAGGTCCCTTCAACCCAAACCAGCCTGGGATTCTGTGACATCACCCCAAAATGGCCTGGGGTGAGGATAACCCCAGCCCAAGCAGCCAGCAACCCTGGCTTGGTGTCCACCAAACCCCCATGATTTCCCAGCAATGGCCAAAGCAGATCTCCTTATTTAGAGATTTTGAGAAAGCACCACCAGCAGCCAGCTCTCCTGCTCGTACAACCTGCAGTACCCTCTCTATTTTTAGTCCAGTTTTGTTTAAAAGTAGCTTAGGGACTGCTTCTTAGGAAAGCTTATGTGTCCATGAACCAGAAGCTCTACCCCTGGGGGAGCGGGGTCCAACCCCACCAGGATGTTACAGACCTTGCTAAGACCTTTCTTCACTGCTCCCAGTGACACACAGCAGCAGCACAGGGTGTCAGACTTAAAGAGAACAGTTGTCTTCACAAAAGAGCAGCATTAGTTATTTACCATCAAAATACACTTAGAGTATTTCCTTCTTTTCCCTTGGAGGTAACAGAAAACATGGCCAGACCTTGAAAAGGGGCTTGGAGAGGTATCTCCTGCCCTTTGCAGCTTAACCTGGGTTGCCACAACCTGGCACTCGGATGTGCAGGAGCTCAGTGATGCCCTTAAGCATTGGTTCAGAAAATATCCCTGGAGATGTCTCCCACCTTGGAGATTTCACCCAGCAGATGCATCTTGTGCAGTTTTAGGAGCAGACACTGACCACAGTCTCTTCTGATGCAGCCTCATGTCTGGGCTGGCCACCATGGACACCAAGGCCTGTGGGAAGATGGGGGTGCTCACCATCACCTACTACCTTTGGACAACCTTCATGGCAGTGACTGTGGGCATCATCCTGGTGGTCAGCATCCACCCGGGCGCAGCTGCCCAGAAGGACAAGTTCTCGGTGGGGAACGTGGTGCTCAGCTCCGCGGATGCGCTGCTGGATTTAATCAGGTACGATGCAGGGGTTTGGCAGGAGGCAGGTTTAGGGCAGTGTTTCACAGATGAGATCTCCCCACAAGGCTTCCGGAGGTATTGAGGTCTCAAGTGAAGCAGAGACCCACCAGCCAGGCTGACAGGCACCAGCACCTCCAAGCCCAGCGATGAGTGGTTCATCTCTGCCCATCCATGTCCCTCTGGCCACTCTTCCACCCCTGTTGCTCTCCCTGGTGCAGCAGCAGCAGAGAACAGGCAGGTTTCAGTTCCCTGCAACCCTCAGGGTTCTCCCTCTTCAGCCCCAGCTGTAACATGCCAAAACCTGCAGCTCCTGGGGCTCTGCAAGGTGAAAACGAGCAGGAGTTGGCCCAGGGCTGGGTTGAAGCAGTGGGTGAGGGTTCACTGAGCAGCCTGGACCCCAGGGATGGGCGACAATCTCCATTTCTGGAGGTGTTTGGTCAACTGGACAAGGCTCTGCCCCAGCTCTGCAGGTGGTGCTGCTCTGAGCACGGGGCCCGAGGTGGCAGATGTCCATCCCAGCCTCTGGCTTTCCATGAGTTCAATTCATGTATGGTTCACAGGCCCACTCTCTGTTCATCCTCCAGCTTCTCTTCGCCCCCAGCTCGCACAGAGGACACCAAGCTGGTGGGGGCTGTCATGGTCCTCTTGGCCTCGCGCCCACTCCCCAGGTTGTTTCCTGTGCTTTAACCCCTGTGCCATTGCTCTCTTGCAGAAACATGTTTCCTTCTAACCTGATTGAAGCTTCATTCCAGCAGGTAAGTTCCCTTCCCTTTCCCCTTCCCCTTTCCCTTCTCTTACCCCTTTCCCTTCCCCTTTCCCTTCCCCTTCCCCTTTCCCTTCTCTTACCCCTTTCCCTTCCCCTTTCCCTTCCCCTTCCTTTTCCCTTTCTCTTTCACATTTTCCTTCTCCTTCCCCTTCTTCTTCCCCTTCTTTCCCTTTCCCTTCACCTTTCCCTTCCCTTTCCCTTCTCCTTCTCCTTCCCCTTCCGCCTCCCCTTCCATTCTCCACCCAGCATGGTGGTGGCTTTGCCTCTGTGGTCAGAGCAGGATGGAGCCAAGAGGACACTGACCTCCCTGCTTTGCTTTCGTCGCAGTATCGAACGGTTCTGGTCCCGGTGGTGAAGTCTCCCGGCATTCCAAAGATCCCGGGGAAAACTCTCAGTTTTATCTACTTTGCACCCGATGATGAAAATCCTGAAATCCATCTGCCTGTGTTCCTCGAGCTGACACCGTCACCTGAGATGACCTACAGGACCCTGCCCGGAACCAGCAACGAGATGAATGTCTTGGGAATCGTCATCTTCTCAGCGACGATCGGTACCAACCCAGCAGAGATGGGGATGTTTCCTCCCCTAATTTTCTGTTCTCTGGGGAGACCTTAGAGCAGCTCCAGGGCCTAAAGGGGCTACAAGAAACCTGGAGAGGGGCTTTGGACAAGGGCCTGTAGGGACAGGACAAGGGGAATGGCTTTAACCTGCCAGAGGGGAGATTGAGATGAGCTCTTGGGCAGAAGCTCTTCCCTGTGAGGGTGCTGAGGCGCTGGCACAGGGTGCCCAGAGAAGCTGTGGCTGCCCCATCCCTGGCAGTGTTCAAGGCCAGGTTGGACACAGGGGCTTGGAGCAACCTGCTCCAGTGGAAGGTGTCCCTGCCCGTGGCAGGGGTTGGAGCTGGAGGGGCTTTAAGGTCCCTTCCAGCACAAACAATTTCGTAACTCTGTGTGCAAGGGAGATGGAGGGAGAAGGTTTACAGGGAAGAAAGTCATGGGAAGGAGAAACCTGAAGCTGACTCTAAAGCATAAGAAGGACATTGAGCGCAGGGATGAGTGTGAAAGAGTGGAATCAGGAGGGGAAAGAGCAGGAGGGGATGAGACAAGCACGGGGGCAGGATTACCTGTAGATTAAGAGGTGAGGGCAAGGAGCTTGAATTTAGTGTATGAGGAACCAAGAAGCCAATTAGAGGATTTGAGGGGTGGAGGCAGTGTAGGCAGCACAGCCCTGGAGCCATCAGAGCTGGGCAGAATGTCTGATTGTAAAGGCTGCAATACAGGGAGTGCCTGGAGGAGACAGCCACAGGGAGACAGGGCAGAGACAGACCCGCTGACAGACCCTTACAGGCAGAAGAGTTGTCTATGGCAGGGTCCTGGCTCATTGACCAGCCCCATCTGCTGACCATGGACACTCGGGGAACCTGCTGAGCTCCTGCTTGCAGGACACGTGCCCGGCTCCAGCCCAGCCAAAAGGAGGGAAGTGGCTTTTCTCCTCTGAGATTATCACCCCAGCACCCTGCCAGCGTGGGAGGGAGGATCAGCACCGAGTTAGGACATAGTGGGAGATCACCTGAGCCAGCCCCAGCCTCCCATATGCACTCCCTGGGTCCTGCATTGGATGGAGGGGCTTTGGACAAGGGCCTGCAGGGACAGGACAAGGGGAATGGCTTTAACCTGCCAGAGGGGAGATTGAGATGAGCTCTGAGGCAGAAGCTC